AGAATGTTGTTTTCGAACACCCTATATATATATCTCTGTAATCATTTCCGCTAGACCTCAAGTGTGATGAAATCGGCTTCCAGGGGGAACTTGGGATTGTATTAATATACAAGGTGTTCAGTTCCGAAAACCCATTCATCATAATGAATAGAGCCCCAAATGTTAGGGGGCTCTTAAGTTTTTCGTTATCCACCTTAATGCCCATGAATGGGGGTGTTTATGGTTATCCCCTTAGAAAAGAATCAATCCATTCAACTTTCATGTATTTCAATTCTCTACGGTCATAATAAAAAGTGTTTCACCCTCATGTAAGCTATCTATGGTAAGGATTCCTCGTGTTATTGAATTAATTTCCCTCATTGAAAAACTATGTAATTTCCTATTAGGCTGATGATGGACATACGTATGTCCAGAAACATGTTCCTCTGATGTGATTATTCACAATGAACCCGTGAGTTTTCATAATAAATTTTCGTGGAGTTGACTTTGTGTATTATTCAGTATCAACCACTGTACTCCACTTTGAGAAACGATGGACTTCTACCAGAGATTACTATACATAGATATGAAAACAATTTTAGGTGATAGTTCTCATGGAACCTTATAACTGTTGTATTCAAATTTTTTCTACATATCTGACGGTTTGGCGAATATCGAAAGAGAACACACTGTCGGATATATATGGACAGCTTTGAAATATTGGTATGGGGCATATCTACCAGATACCCAGGTAACACGGTGACCAGTGAAGACGTAATAATGACGTCATTTTTACGTCCAACATTCTTTCGTATCACCAAATGAAAGAATCAGTGATCATCTAACCTTTTCATCGTCTCGTCTACAAAATTTGAGTTCATGTAGCCGTTCCTCTACATCGTGAGGATTTATTTGCCAACTTTGGGTACGTTTTAATCAAGCTACTTTCATTCCACTAACATCTCGCCGACGCTCGCTATATAATTTTTGATACAAATATGAATAGCTAATGTTATACTCACATAGAGATGCGAGGTAAAGATAGCAAAATAAATTAATTGTCTTCCAAACTTCCATTTTGTTTGAATTATACATTTTTTTCTCAAAAAAGTCGGGGAGAGTGTGAGGGGAATTCGAAAAAGTTTATTCTTGATGTCTATTTGTGACCTTCGAAAATTGGTTGCCAGAGTTTACTGAAACGATATCATGGATGAACTTTCTGATTTCATCTGAACTATTGAAATTTTTCGAGTACTGTCCTGTTTTTTTTTCTTTTCCGAATGAATCAGTTGATCAGAAGGTATACATAGTAGCAAAATATTCCATGGAAGATTCAGACGAATCTCATAAATCACCTATTAGTGAAGAAAAAGGAAAGACAATTTCTGATGATTATTACCTAGGTAATGCCCTCAGGGTAGGAGTATGTACAGTTCCTCATGACTCACTGACTCACCCTGTATAACAACAAATACCTCAAAAACTGTCCCGAATATTCATACTGTCATCAGTTGGAGAAATATTGAGTGCTCCTCCACGAAAAATAGGATATGTTGCATCAACAAATATTTATGTTTGAATTTTTTTGTTTGACTGAGTAATTCTGTGTTGGATTAAGAAGTTACATGATTATTTCATGAAAGCAGCTTGTTTGAATCAAGAATGTTGTCTGATTGAATCAATAATGTAATATCAATTACATTAACAAAATATATGGTTTTCTCAACAGAAAAAAATGTCGATCCAAAATAATTTCGATGTTGATTCAATTGTAACCATTTTGTTGATCTAATGAAATAATGATTATTCTGATAAGAAGATGAGGATATACCTTCGAAACAACATACACGTTTTCTTATTCCGATGTAGCATTGAACATTGAATAGAGCAACAAAATATGTAATATCGATGCAATATTTGTTTCATTGTTCAAGTTACATTTTTGCCTCCAGATGGCGATCTATGCCTGCCTCGTATACATTATATACGTGGAGCCTGATTCTTCGTGTTCGAAATATCAGCGGGATAAATCGAACTTAGGATGATTAGCAATCCAAAATAGTTCTTCATCAGCTGAAGAGAATCAAAGACTGATGAAGATCTTTGCTAAAAGTCGACTAGTTACCTAGGTTAGTTCATTCTATCGATGTGAAATTCCCGAATTAATACTGAATTTGGTTCAACAAAACAATTTGTCGAATGGAAATACAGTTTCTCTTCATTCAACGAAATATTTCATTGAATCAACCAAATGTTCCTTTGAATCAACCAAATATTTCATTGAATCAATCACATATTTGATTGAATCAATATCTCGTTAACAAAAAGATTGTTCGAGCCAATTCGATATCTTTTCATAAAGAATTCATGAGTGTGCTTGATTGAATAAGATCCAGAGCTTATACAAGACATATTTATCTAATTCAAACTTCGAATTCACTCTGAAACAAGATATAGATTCACTCATTTCAAGATAATATTTTGTCGTGCATATATCACACTTTTATTTGCTTCGTTCAATTAAATTTTGCCTGATTCAAAAATCACTTTTTTTTTCGTGTAACGTTTTTAAAATGTCACCCGGAATATCTGAAAGCATAAAAATATCTTAGGTACAATCATTAGATATCAACATTCTGATTCTCGTGGACTAGAATAGTGATGGATAAGCGCAATGCCAAAAGGAAGGTAATAATTCACCGAACTTTCCCCTGAAACAAACTAATGCTTGGCTAAAATGGCTCGAAAAAAGGCTGTCAGCACCGAAAAAAAATCACTGAAGTTATACATCACGCCATACAATATACCCCAAACAACCAAAAAACAACATAAACATCAGAGCGATGCGTCCGCAGAGCTAGATCGAATTTATAAAAGGAAAAAAGTTGCTTGTCAGTGGCACGATAGCGATAAACGTTTTTCCATCACCAAAACTCCCATCGTTCCAATGATTGAAAACTGCGAGTTTCCACTGCGATCTCAAATGAAACTAATATCTGAATTCAATGAATTCACGAAATACTCGGAACTATGTAGATATACGCTTATTCACTATCACTGATTCGTGAGTAATAGGATGGACAACGAAAAGTTGGTGAACTCGAGAACTAAACAATGACGAATCTAGACGTTAACAAAGGGAGAGACTTCCATAGTAACATATTCGAATATTCCGAATAAGAGGCATCTATACAGTGTGGGGCATAAGTGCGTCGGAGCTCAATTGCTCGAGTTCAATGATAGTTGATTCAAAAACGAATATGAGTGAGACAATGAGGTCCATAACTAAAATCATTGTCGCATATACAGGAGGCACCTGAAAAAATCTAGAGGGTTATAGGTCCACTTTTTTTTTATCGAATGCCCTATATATTAGCACATTTTTTCAAGCATTCCTGTTTGGGTGCTGCACTCCAAATATGAGAACAGTATTCCAGGACAGGCCGGATCTGTGCCATATAGATCATAAGCAGCTGCCTGGAAGTGGAAAAGCTCCTGGCCCGAAACAGAAAATCAAGTTTTTGAGATGCACTTTTAGCAATTGATTTCACGTGATTTTCCCAAGAAAAGGTATTGCTGATAGTAATAGCAAGCATCGAAATGGATGTCTCCAAAGGTATGGTTACTGCTGACAGGGTTATGTTGGGCACAGTGAGATCGGTTTTCCTAGAGAAATGGCATGTTTGTGTTTCGTTTGCATTGAAATCTACCAAGTTATTTTATCCCCATTCTAGAAAGTTGCCAAGTCCATATTTATGTTGTCAACATTTCTTCCTCGTTCGTTTCTGATTTGCCTGGCTGGTATTGGAGCCATGGAAGAGAAGGCGGTATGGAGAGTACTGTCATCCGCGAAGTTGTGTACTGGGCATGATGTTGCTTCCAACAAATCGTTGATAAGGAGTAGATATAGTGTTGGTGCTATGATTGATCCTTGCACCAACACTATGTTTTCTGTAGATCCATGCCGACAAAATCATACTCCAGATATGTTATACAACAATTTTTTATTTATATATACCGTTTTTAGTAACATCAATGTAACCAACCTCAATGAGTTGTAACTACTGCACTCCATAGTTAACTAGCTTTGCTAATAATTTTTATAACATTCTGTAGTCTGGCGTTACCACCGATACAAGTCTGGCCCTGATGATGGAAATATAACTTTCCGAAAGCTTGGACAAACTTGCATAAATTCCACTTTCACTTTGCTGCTTCCCCACTACTAAATTCCTCCTCTAACTTGTCAGCAACGACTTCCCTCCTCTCTATATTTATATATACCTATATTGAGAAATATTGTGAGAATTCACATTCTGTATGTGATGAGGATATCATTTTTTTCTCGGTATATTCAGCATAAAACAATTATTTCCTTCGCTATATGCCACGACGAACATTGATTATTTCTATTGAACTCACACGATGAGAATTTGAAAATAAAATCTCCTGGAGTTGAGGATTTGCAATCTCCTCCAGATTAAAATATATATGCACGTAATATATCATTCTGAATATTCAACAGGTAACAACAACTCTCCTCAAGTCGCAGTTCCGTGATTGGGTTTTCTCAATTAAAAATTCCTTTCCACGTCAGATATGATGATTGTCAATTTGTCATACATTTTAGAATACCAAATTAGTACTTAATTGATATTTTATTGGTCGACTCTCTTACTAATAGAATAAACTTGGTCACTCCGGCACTGACTCATTGAATAATGTTCGATACTAGATGATTTCCTCTGTATAATTCATTGGGATTTCATTCAAGGAATTAGTGAAAACTTGATAATAACCCATATTATATGAATTCTTGAATGGTATTCCGATTATCCTATATTTTTCTAACTATAGGTGTTGATAAATCCCAATTAGGAAAATTGCATACTCTCAATTTGGAAATGCCGGTGCCATGACGATGGCCAAAAGATCATAGATATGTTTCATATTTATCAGTATAAATATACGTAGATTATGCATTTTGTTTTCATTTGTTCGTAGTTTATCTCATTCCCACCATGAACACTACAATAATTTCTTCCTTCTGTTTAGCATCTGCAATGATAACCTTGGTAAGAAATCAATTCTATACATCATTTTGTAGTAGCTATTCACTTAAGAACGTATGGATTATGTGGTGAAGGTACCAAATTGTTGAACAGTAGTATTGATAAGGTCCACTGTTCCTCCTCCTCAAAATGAATCATAGATTAGACTTATTAATTTTCTGTTCGAATGCAGCACAAGTCATAGGTGAACCAGAAGTGAGAATGCCTGTTGAATTAACAAAAAGGCAGCTGGCAATATTGTTTACCTTAGGTATCACATCATCACATCATCAAGTAGCTGGACAGGGCAATGATAACTGGAATGATATCCACACAGAAAAATATAACTTGCAACGAGCATTATCAGTAGTTCAACCAAAAAATCTGTATTGCTATACAGACAGCTAGATATTCAATGCACCCTATGCAATGATAATCACCACAAACTCAGTCGTTGTCATTATGTATTTAGTAACCATCACATAATACTTGATCATGTTCGGATCACAATCCAAAATGCAGTGTTTATGGTCAACTTTTTGGTATTATAGGAACACTGGGTATTGATAGCAATAAATTGGCGAATTTGGTGGATATCTAATGCCAAACAGGAATGGCTGTCATACGACCTGCTCTTTGTTTCCTCTACTTACCTATAGTTGTCTAGGAACATGAACAATTACAATCATAATACTCGAACTGAGTTTGCTATTTGCACTGAACCTATTGGTTCCGTTCAGAAAATATGATTAGTCGAATCAATTGACATTCTCCACTTGAAAATAATTATTCATTGTATGCTAGATGTTGACATCAATGAACTCTATCATTTTCAGTCTCACCTGTTGACGTTACTACAAGGTGCCGTCAATGTCAAAGTCAAAATTCCCGAACTTTTGCAGGGGAGCACTAAAGGCTGTGGCCTGTTTTATCCAAAATATTCGGAAAAACTGATTTGGCCTTTTTCAACAAATATAGATAGACCCAAGTTATAGAAACCATCGATCAGATTTGCGTGTTCTTCCTCTCGTTGTAGAACGACCAATTCTTACGATGAAAACGAAGATATCGTAGTAAGAGGTCGAATGACACGAGAAGAAGGAGTTCATTTATCAGTTCTATCGAAACTGACCTCACGTAGGAAAAGACTAATTGAGTGTCATTTGTGAAATGAATTGTTCTCAATATCAATTTTGATAAGTTTGGAAAAACTAGGATCGAAGAAGTTGTTCTAGCTCTTATCATCATCAATGATGAACAATTCTACAGTTTTTGATCTGATAGGAATATAATTATCTCGACAGTAACGCAAATTTTATTCACATTTTACATTGATACTTCTGGTAGTCAACCTTGCAATACGGAATATTCGACACTCGTGGATATGGTCAGTAGGAAATAATTATTCCGCCCTTCAATCACATTTATTAGTGGTTTGTATTAGGGTTCGACAATTCACGTCGAAATTACATATTCTTGACCAAGAAAATATCATCTTGAAAAGATTTTCTTCATGACCATAGGTCTCACTAGGTGCGAACTGACTAGAATATATCTGTTATGTCAACGGAAAGACAATAACGAGTCATATCAATTGGATCAATCAGAGAAATCCTCCTGAAGTCAGAACCATTCTCTTCATCTAAGATCTCCAAAGAAACTCGTCCCAGAAATCATCAATAACATCCAGTTTCAATGATCTTGATATGTCTGTTATTTTTCGATGATGGAGTTGATCTATGATAACGATTACAATTTCGATAAATTTTATAAACGAGTTATCCCGTCATACACATGGTCGATTTAGAAGCAGACATTGCATAATTTTGATGATCATCAACTATAAAACTGTTAGTGAAAACTCGAGTAGCCAATTTTATATAATATAATATCTCAATTCCCCATATTCAATCTATATCCTGGGAATAATAAAACAGATACTGAAGAGTTCTGAAGGACATCTTCTCAACGGTTCTTGCAGAAGGTGACCTCATGATTTCTTCTTCGTCATATCTGATAGGTACCTGTTCTTGGTTGGAGGATGAAACATTTCCATTGAATCTCATCATTTCTGAACACAATATCTCCATAGGTGAGGACCCAGAGCAATCTATTCGGGGAATTCCTCAGAGTCCACAACGAATGCCAAGTGGACCCAGCAACCCGTATAGAAGGTAATCTGATGGATATGGCTGCTGAAGGTCTCCCAGTAGATGAGTATTCACTGGGCAACCATCTGCTGTGCATGTACATCAGACTGAGGATCATGTCAGGAAATGGCTGGGTCGACGTTCCAGTAACCATAGAACAATTGGTGGCTGTGATTGATGACAAAGCAGCTGTAAGTCAAGCAGTACACAGATGCTGCGGACCAAGACGCAGTCGAGAGACTCCGCAGCAGATTGCAGCTGAGCTGTTTCGGTGTGTCACGAGAAATTTGCCAGCTCTAAGAACTGTTAGGCCACCAGGACAATCATTGTGATGCTGAATCAAAACACAATTCAACAACTCCTAAACACGTATATTTTGCGCTAGGAGTCGACTGACATTAATTGTTGATAATTAAGTTTATGAAAATAAATAGTTAACTGACATGTTCGTTTCTTCCAATCCATTTAACTTCGTATTGATGTGCGAATAGTTCCAGGATGAGACAGCATGAAGAGTTGATCGAAAAGGCTCACAAACATCTGTTGTTCATGTTTTACCAACATGAGAAGATCTGAGCATTTTATCCCAAGTAGCACACATATATTGGGACAATATCGGTGCAATATTACGAAAATATCGGCAAAATATTGTGAAAGTAATATTGGCGAGAAAAAAAATGTGAACATTCGGCGATATTGGAACAATATCATTTTCCAAATGTGGGTAGAATATTCTAATATCAATATTGGTTGAATATTCGTGGAGTTATATTGGTCACAAAATGTTATATCAATATTGGCAAGAAATTAATGGTGAACATGCGGCAATATTGGTGCAATATTAAATGGAAATATCGGTGAATCATTGAAAAACATCAAAAATATTGGTAGAATATTGTCATACCAATATTACTGGAATATTATAGTAATATACTGGTGCAATTTTGGTTGGAAATATTGGTACATTATTGAAAATCAATATGTAGCTATGTTGTCTTCGAAATATTGGTGAAATACTTTCATATCAATATTTGCGAGTTATTCGCATTAGGAATAATCACAAAGGTCAGCCCAGCCGAAGTGCAATGGGAGGGCCTTGCCTTGGGGAAGCCGCCTTATTGATCACGGTTAACTCCACGATGTTAACTCCTACTCCAGGTAATAATGCTTTACAATCGTCCAGATCCAATATTTATATTCTCTCGTCTGATCGGCAATGGGAGTACGTTACGAATCATTTATAGCGCCATCTATCGACATCGATTTGAGAGTGCATGCTATGGAATTAGTATCGAAATTTCGATATCGATATGTATTCTCAAAACAATATGTGAACAATATTGCTCACATGATATAGTCAATCAGATATCAGCCAATATAAGATGATATTACTTTCTGAATATACCTGGAAAACTATTCAACCGACTTGCAATTGATCTTGAAAATACAATATTGTTTTTCTCTTCTATGACCGATATGAGATATATATTGAATTGGCGTTATTGATATTCATATTTGAAACAATATGCATTCCATGTCTTTCGCATGATATAGTTGAAACGATATCAATCAATTTGGGTGAATATGATGTTTGAATATTGTCGAATGAACAATATTCAAAAATGAGCCTGTCGAACTCGAATATACAATTTTGCATAACCGCTTCATAATCGACATGGGGAGAATGTTCAGATTGCGATATTGGTTATAATTGTCGGAAACAATATGTATACGATATCTTCCGCGTGATATAGTTGGAATGATATCAATCAATATAGGTAAATTCAATTTGCCAAATATTGTTGAAACAATATTCTACCAATGTGCCGTCGAACTCGAACATACAATATTTCATAACCACTTCAGAATTGACATGGGGGGGAATGTTCGAATTGCTATATTGGTTATAATTGTTGGAAACAATATGTATACGATACCTTCCGCATGATATGGATAAAATGATATCAATCAACATAGGTGAATATGATGTTTCGAATATTGTTGAAACAATATTCAACCAATATGCCTTCGAACTTCAATATACAATATTGCACAACCGCTTCAGAATCGACATGAGGAGAATATTCAAATCACGATATTGGTTATAAATGTAAGAAACAAAATGTATACGATATCTTCCGCATGATATAGATAAAATGATATCAATCAATATAGGTGAATATGATATTTCAAATATTGTTAAAACAATATCCAACCAATATGCTGTTCAACTTGAATATACAATATTGCATAACCGCTTCAGATTCGACATAGGGAGAATGTTCAAATTGCGATATTGGTTATTAATGTAGGGAACAATATGTATACGATGTTGTTGTATCGACATTTGTAAAACAATATTATATAACATTTATGGATATGTATGTACAATATTTTTTCAATCTGTTTATACAGTCGTCAGATACAAGTAAGGTATTTGTTTATATCCTTCAAAGTGATATGTAGCTCCCTGTTGTTTTTTCCAGGATTGCTAGGAAAATACCTATTATATAGGTACTCAACGACATTCCTTGGAAAACTGATAGACTGAATCATGACTGACCGGAATATCACAATATCACCTCATTGGAATATTGGAAAAATTCCAAAAAAGGCTCCTAGCAAAAGATGAAGAATGATATACCATATCAAGAACTACACTGAATATGCAATTAGTTAACATAATATGCCAGGTTCGCGTGGTAATTTCGATCACCATATGAAGAGTCTGAGTGAACTTATCAAAAAAAATTAGCTCGTGAATCGAGTATACTTGTTTTCATTTGGGATTTTGATCGATACAGGTTGCATATAAAAATGGGGTTCGAATGGAGTTTTGTACATGAGACACTCAAAATACACATTCTCACGAAAGTCATAATAGTGTCAATGTCTCCATCAATATTCCACTGGGGTCATATTTTGATAATCTATGGTCAGTCATGAGCTGGTTGAGTTTTGGGACACTCTGTATATATAGGCACCAGTTTGTTATGATATTCCAATCCGTTTGAACGCGGTTATAGAGCACAGGACTATTCATTCAATGAAAACCCGTTATAATTTTTATTTCAACATGGAACTCTGACCATGCATGGACAATTGCAATTGAGTATCAACACAAAATCACACTTCATTGTATTATTTAAGAACATCAATACATTTCTGAGGAGTTGACTTTTTATAATCAAACTAGTCCTGTTGATGATTTTTTCCTGGATTATGGTACTGCATGTTTACAATAGTAGATTGTTTTATTAGGATCAAAAGTGACACTTTGTTTGACAAGCGAATTTTGCATTTGCGAGGTGGAGCGTTTAGCGAAGCCGAGCGAAATCAATATTTGCAAGTCGAACAAAGTCACTTTTGATCCGAATGAAACATGCTATTTTTTCTGCATCCGAAACAATTAACTCAGATAAACATGTGAAGTAACCACCAATGCCGTGTCATATGTATGCAATGCAACAAATATTGACATGTTCGAATTGTAGTTTCAATATAAATACAACCACAGAGTGACATATTTGTGTATGGACCAGGTGCTCTATAATGGCAAATACCGCGCCAGTGCCAGCTATAGGAACAAGACGTGGAAAATGTTAGGTTAGTGAGCATATCAACAATGATAATAGTGATTATTTATTCCTCTCCATACTTCACTGTGTTCGACTTGATAATCAAATGAAGCTAAACAATATCGTTGTTTGAGACAAAAAAACTATTGCTTGCCGTGATTATTCAAAAACAAGTTGTCCATCCCGAGAATAACGAATGAAATACAGATCAAGCAAGTATTTGAATTTTGAAGGCTTCCCTGATCAAACAAAAATACTCAGCTGAGATGTTCATAATTCCAATACCAAACTATAATAAGGTGTATTTATATCTCCAGCATGAGTATGGAATGCCAAATCTGCTGAAATCGGAAACAAATCAGGTATGTGTCTCAACCCAAATAACCAACCGTCACAATGTTGTTTATTGACGTCCAGTACATCCTTTTTAGTTTATAGGAGCTAAAGTTCAACTTTAGCTCCTAGGAACTAGAATTCAACTTCAGCTCCTAGGAACTAAATATGTTGCCTATCAACATACCTATTGTTGTGTCAGTAATAGAAACGTCAATTTAAGAGCTAACTTTGGTATCAAAATGGACAACTTTTGTGTCGGTTGCAGAAAAAAAATATTATCCGGCCTTTGAATGTTGACTTCACACTTCAGAGCCTGTTGCCCAATGAAATGAATATATTTCCTTAGTCCAATCCTGCTTTACTATCTGCGAGCAGGTGGCATTTTTCGCGATCTGATCAATTGGAAATATCTAATACCGCTGAACCAGCGATTTGGAAATACCGATGATTCGTATGGTAACACGCCGGGATATAAATATATATAAATAACAAATCAGAGCTTACCCAGTAGTTCAATATCAGCTCCATATATTTTATTGGAAATCATTTATTTGATCGAAATGAGAAGTGCGTTGTTTTACTTGTGTATCGTATCGGCATTGATTTGCTTGGTAAGGTATACATTCTACACTGAAATGTTTAGAATATTTTTCTGCCACTATGGCTACGAAACCTACCGCATTATTTACTCCTTCCAAGTGTTTTTACTACCCAAGGTAGTTTTCATCATTTTATGAAGTCAATGAAGACATAGCTCTGTTGTAATTAGCAGAACACTATAATCTAGTGGGTGTTTATGATCTTGATGATGGCTACTAGATCTCAATTTAAATTGAAAAAAAAACTTCTATAGTGACAATCAGTGCATATTTCAGTTTCACCTAAATAAAATGGTTGAAATGTATTGCTAGTAGTGAGAAAATATTCAATATACACCTGGTTGTGAAGAATATTATGACCATCCTCTCCTGAAATATCAACAATTGTTCCTTCTTCGGCAGTCCCCGCGAGATTAACCCGTCAAGTTGAGGCTTCGCACCCCTTCGTGGTTACTTTGGAGACCTGCAGAACATCTCGTTCCAGAAACTGGTTCATCCAACGAACAGCGAGGCTCTGGAACACATTGCCAAGGGAGGTGTTCTCCGAGGCATATTGACCTCCAGAAATTCAAGAAGAACACTAATTCCTACCTCATCTTCCTTAGTTCTCACTATGTTTTCTTTACATTACAAATTTTTCTGAATTGAAAGGAATTTTCATTCAATTCATTTCAGGCTGAATGTCCAATCATCTCGAGTTGGTAGATAATATGAATGCTTTCTTCTAGCATTCGATTAAACTTCGAAATGTCATGGAAAAATATTTGTTACTAGAGAAGTGTTATACAAGGATTCATTTTTATTTACGAACGAAATCTTAGATTCAGCAATATTGTGAAAAGAAAAAATTTAATTCCTTAGAAATGTGTCGAAGGAATAGTTATTATAATTATTATCAAATTATAACCCAGGCAATGACAAGCTCTAGTTCAGATATTATCAAAGAATATATTCCAAGAGTCACTATTCCAGAGGTTGGTGGCATACGAATGAAAAGGTTCAGGTATATGATTCATTTATATCTGGCAACAATATGCGCGATGACTGATTTGCTGATTATAATGGAATGTTATTGTGATTACTAAACGGAGTATTAATCAGTCATTTATATCAAGTACTTTAAATTATTAATTTATATATAAGTCGAGATGGCTTTCTGAATGTATGCCTCGATGTATGCATAGAATTCGAGTGATTCCATAATTCCAGTACGATTCTCAATTGAACGTTAGACTCGTTGTTTGTTCTCGATACCCAATGAATTCTATTATTATAAATAACCGGAATAATACAAAGTAGCTCTCCACGTAGACTAACACCAGCAATATACTTTGTAAATGAGCTAGGAGAACTGATTTCAAACGAAGAAGTAATATTACAGGTGGAAAATGTTCTGACTAAGGGTACTTCTTGATTCTCTTCAGGAATTATGGAAATAGACTCCTGCAATTTATGCTGAATATATTCATGATGTAAAATTGCGAGCATCACTCGAATGTAAAGTTTGCTCATAGTTTCAAATCAATAGCTCACTATTTTCGGAACAATGAGATGAAATATTCTCCATACGTATAGGAAATAGTACTGAAAATATTCATTCAATAAGTTACGAGGGTTGAGAAATTCAGAAGATCTTGGAAGTCAACATAGCGAATTCTCTAGAATATCCTTGAAAGTGGAATGTTCAGATATCCTGTGCTATAGATTTGCTGAAATACAGGATTCATTCGCTATTGCCAACGAATTACATGATCAATCGAAACAAGACAAAACTACACTCCACACCACTATGAGTTGACTGATGAGTCAGAATGTTTCATATCTGATTGATGTTATTATTGAATATACTTCTCAATATTCTTCAGAGATTCTTGAGAGTAACACCTGCAATGATTTTTTTTCGATATATTGATGTGGAATTCGAACAAAAAACAATGAGAGTACAATCAGATGTTCAATTAATGACTGCATCGACTACACGAAAAGAAAAGTTTCGTTATGATAAATGAATATGATTAACTGTTACCAAATCCTTTATTGAAATATGGCTTATCAGACGTTTGTTTGAGAAGTACAAATAATTTGTTCACACCCCATGAATAAGCTTCGTGCATGGTTGAATTATGATCATTTAATGATAATATTCATTTATTAACTCAGAATTTATATTTCTTCACACACACCAAACGATATCTATTGTTTCAGAATCTTTGTGTTCAGTAACCAAATATTTATCCATGAGTACAACATAAAAATAAAGCTTTTATCGATTATAAATAAATATTTTGTTCGCTGATATAGATCAATGTCTTCATTTCAGAATAATTGCTTATTTTATTGTTCTTAGCCTTATATTGATAACAAGTTTAGTAACAGTTAACAAATTCATCATTTATATAAGTATATAACCAAACTATTCGATCAGGGCTGGTTGCGTATAAACCTATTACCTCAAAACTCATCAGCTCTCAGCTATGATGGCATACCCTCCTTTCCATGTACATATATTAGTTTCTTTCAAATTCATGCAGAGCAAATAATATTAGAAAATACTCATGCATAGGTATTCGCACCTACTTACGTTCAAAATGTTTCAGTATTGATTGATTAGCACCACATGCACCACTGTTTTTTCGAAAACATACCTACTAAATGTGGTATAATAGATGCACTCTGATAGCGTCTGCCATTTTTTTCATATGTGATGTCGTACCTATATGAAATTATCGCATAAGCAAATTGTAGACGTGAATATACATGTCCAAATGTGAACGAATTCGCACTGTCACACAATTCACTCCTCAGGCTAGCACTCAACGAAACCTAACAGGAGAATTCCGCAGAGCACATCAAGCGTGCCAGGCCCATTCTTCCACTCGCATAGATGAAGACCTGATGGACAGAGCAGCAGCTGGTCAACCCGTAGATGAATACAAACTGGGGAATCACCTCTTCTGCATGTACCTGGATATGGGCATCATGTCAAGAGACAAGTCCATCAACAGGGTGAATCTGAGAAGACAGTTGAGGAAGCCTGTTCGAGATGAAGCCGTTATAGAAAGGATCGTGCGGAATTGCGTGCCATCTGGGGTTCACCATGGAACGTCGCAACAGATAGCAGCGGAACTTTTCAGATGTGTTCGGAGAAATCTGCCAAGTGTCAGCTCATGAGATACTTGAATCCATTCATGTCGAATTCACACTCAAATATATATCAATATCTATTTGGAAAAAGTTTTTTTTTTCAATATGCTACTAACACAGTAAGATTACATAATGAAACAATTGGATTCAGTTCATTTCATAATTTCTATAGGACCTCTTTATCTATACAAACCAAGAACCAAGATTCAGTGAATTTCCTCCTATCTATACTGATTGAACGAAATTTGAAATATCATTCCTTGTCATTATTGAATTGGGAATATCTCGACAAACAACCAATATACTCAATGATCGAATATTATCATGAAACATGTGTATAGATATGTAGATTTTCAATATCAAAATCACTCCACTTATTGAAGTAATGTAATTATTTCTCACCTCTTCTGCATGTACCTCAATCTGGGTATCATGTTGAGAAATAGATCCATTAACAGGGTGAATCTGTGACGACTGTTGAGGAAGTCTCTTTGAGATGAGGCCGTAATCAACAGGAATTGAATGCCATCTTGGGTTACCCATGGCACGTCACAGCAGATAGCAGCCAAACTATTCAGATGTGTTCGTAGACTTCTGCTAAGTCTCAGCTTGTCAGATAGTGTGAAGTTCAACATGTTTTAGAACCTCAATTATATATTATTCATACAAACCAACCCAGGTAGCACCAGTGACGTCCAACGGATGTCCTAATTTGGTCATAAATCTATTCAAATAACGTCAAAAAATTACGTCTTGAAGACCGTCATGAAACGTCATATTCAGACGACGGAATGATCTATGGAGGAATATTTTCACAAAATCAGGGCATTTATAGACATATATACGGTATCATACACCAGTGACTTTTTACGAAATGAGCTGTTTCCTACGGGTGTAGTCCTGTGCGATCCTGGCGTTATCTTCAGTTCGCATCTCTATGTGAGTATTTCATTAGCTATTCATATTTGTGTCTGAAATTATGAAGCGAGCGTCGGTAGGATGTAAGCGGAATATAAAAGTAGCTTGATTGCAATGTACCAAAAGTTGACAAATAAAGCATCACGTTGTAGAGAAACGTCTATTCAAAATCTAATTTTGTAGAATAGACGATGGAATGCTAGGATGATTACTGTTCTTTTTATCCGGTAATACGGAAGAATTTTGGACAGAAATACGACGTCATTTTGACGTCTTCTTAGGTCACCGTCCTACCTGGGTATTCGATAAGTATGCCCCATACATATATATTTCATACCTGTCTATATACCCATAATAGTGCGTTCTCCTTCGATATTCGTCAAACCTTCAGACATGTTAAAAACATTCAAATACAACATCTATCACACCCGGTATCGAATCCGTGATCATATAGTCCCTAACCGATTATGGAATGAGTATCTAGAATTGGATTTATTTCAGTCGAATCAGAAGTACGAGAAGAATGAAATAGAAATGTCCAATAATGTCTATTATGAACAATAATTCACAACCCCAAAGTTTCATTTCACTGCCTTCAATAATGAAATAGTTTAAGGAATGTTACAGTAGTCGCTGTGAAGATAATGTAACCATTGCATGAGGATATAAGGACGGCATTGAGAGAAGGTGGGCAATTTTTTCGAAAATATTTGAAAAATGCTTTTTTCTGCAACCGACACAAAAGTCGTCCATTTTGATACCAAAATTAGCTCTTAAATTGACGTTTCTATTACTGACACAAAAATAGGTATGTTGCTAGGCAACATATTTAGTTCCTAGGAGCTAATGTTGAATTTTAGTTCCTAGGAGCTAAAGTTGAACTTCAGCTCCTAGGAACTAAAAAGGATCTACTGGACGTCATCAAGAATAAACAACATTGTGACGGTTGGTTATTTGGGTTGAGACGCATACCTGATTTGTTTCCGATTTCAGCAGATTTTGCATTTCATACCCATGCTGGAGATATAAATACACATTATTATAGTTTAGTATTGGAATTATAAAGATCTCAGTTGAGTATATTTGTTTTGATCAGGAAAGCCTTCAATATTCAAATTCTTGCTTGATCTGTATTTCATTCGTTATTCTCGGGATGGATAACTTGTTTTTGAATAATCACGGCAAGCCAATAGTTTTTTTGTCTCAAACAAATATATTGTTCAGCTTCATTTGATGATCAAGTCAAACACAGTGTAGTATGCCAGTATGGAGAGGAATAAATAATCACTATTTTCATTGTTGATATGCTCACTAACCTAACATTTTCTACGTCTTGTTCCTATAGCAGGCACTGGCGCGGTATTTGCCATTAGAGCACCTGGTCCATACACAAATATGTCACTCTGTGGTTGTTTTTATATTGAAACTACAATTCGAACATCCTGGAAAACCCAACCTGCTGGTAATGCAGATAGAATATTCTCACCACATGGATTTTTTGTCATTATTTTTTGCATTGCATACATATGACACGGCATTGGTGGTTACTTCACATGTTTATTTGAGTAAATTGTTTCGGTTGCAGAAAAAATAGCATGTTTTATTCGGATCAAAAGTGACTTGTTCAACTTGTCAAACAAAGTGTCACTTTCGATCCTAATAAAACAATCTACTATTATATACGAGTTAATGCTAGATAACTTTTACAGATGCGGCATGCGCGGTCTGGCTTTTGAGTGGATTTAATCTTACCTCACCAATAGAGAACAAAAAACCAACTAAAAAACAAGTGGAATTTGGGATAATTCAAGTTTTATTTATCCCAGTTACCAGTGTCGTCCCTCAGGGAAGCATACTAGGACCCCTCATTTTTTTTATAGTCTCATGCAGGATTTTCTTCATCATTTTCCAGCATTCGCTAACGATGTTGTTTTTATTCAATCAATGAATTCTTCAATCGCATCGTCTCTAACCTCGCTCCAAATGTATACTTTTTGTTGAGGTCCTTACAACTTTCGTTTTTGTGCAGAATTTTTCGATAATTGTTTCTCTAACTATTATGTGTACTCACTGTATATCAGATTGTTTTCATTAGAAAACCCATTTTGACATTATCCAATACTATAAAGTCTATGGAAATAAATATCTTGTAGTGTATTGTATTTGTATTGCATTGATATGTTTCAAACAACTGCTGCACTTCCGATTTCCGTTTTCTCCCTCTCTGCCGACCATTGTACCATCTAAGTAGCGGCTGGACTCTAGGTCGGTCTATAACGCAATTACTTGAACATGATATTGACGAACGGATAACAGGACTGGCCTGATACAACAAGGGACTCTCCATTCAAGGTACTAATTATCAAATCCCGACAATCAGAGCACAAGTCGTGTTTACACAAACTATGCGCAAAATAGCCGTATCATCCGGTGCGTATTCGTCAACTTGGGAGTTTCCATTGAAGTTCACACAATGTTAACAATCATAATTGCCGTGCCCAGATCCTTGCTTGAACAATGCTACCAACATTTATCTCGTTCAAGTTCAAACCATAATCGTCAGTGAAGTTTGACTGCTCAGTCGGAATTCAATTTTGATATTGTCATTATCGTCGAATTATACACTTTTCAAAAAGATCAATTTTAGGAGACCCAGCTACAAATTTAGACTGTCATTTGATAACGAAATGTTATTTTGCCAAAAGGTATGAAGCTCAATCATCAGAAAACTAAAGCTATGGTTATTACTTCTATAAGTACAAACAAAGTCAAATCAATTATCAAAATATAAACATAGAGATTTACGGTGACAAAATAGAAATCGTAAATAAATTGAATATCTTGATGTTATTGTAGACAATACACTAGACTTTAAGTCTCATTTTAGGTACATTTACAAAAAAATCGTAAAAAAGCTCTTCTTCTTTTCTAGAATTACTTAGGATTGATATATTGTTTCGGTCATCTGTCACTGTTTACAGAACAATCATACAACCTCATTTTGATTATTGTGCGAGTTTGCTCTCACTATTGGATGATAATGGTTTATCTTCTCTACAAAAATTGCAAAACCGCGGAATGAGAATTATATACTTCAATGTAACAGATTAACACCTGTTAATTTGATGTTATCTGTTCTTCAATGGATGACGGTGAAGAATAGGATTAAGTATTTCTCTTTGATATTTATTTACAGAGTAGTACATTGTGATCTCCCAACGTACTTGAAAGATTTCATAACTTTCAATCATCAGATTCACAAACATGAAACAAGAGGTAGATGATTTTCATATCAATCGTACAAGATTGAAGGGGAATATGAATTCATTATTCCACCAAGGTTTAGTTGATCATAAAAAACTGCCCATGGAAATCACATCGAGTACTACAATCCATATTTTCAAAGAGAGACTCAAAAGTTTCATTATTATGTAGTCAATATATAATATAATTGAGTATTTTGAATGGAGAATGGGGTCCTTCCGAGAAGGCATAGATATTCATTATATTATATATGATATATTCATTGTACTGTGTTGAATTACCGTTTCATTTTCATTTCACTTTTCATCTTCTATATTTGTTCCATGATTTTTTTATATTTTTTGTATGTATTACTATTATTATTTTCATTCGAAAATTAGGATTTTCCATTTAAATAATGATCATTATTATTCAAAAAAAAAAGAAACATTGTATTTTATCGAGCGGCACCTGTGCCAATCATATCCTATCCTAAACAAAATGATTGGAAGATGGCACTTTCCTGTGCGGTAATAAGCACTCAATTTCACGATTTAGTAACGAGATAACTATGCCATCTGATACCAATAGAATGATAGATCTCAAGAACCTACCTGTGCCCCTTCTCAATTTTTTTGCTATACATTCTTCGGTCATATGATAACGAGTTGAAACAAATATCAAATGGGAGCAAATAATGATTATACATACTCATAAAAGGGACTGAAATTCTTGAATGAAAGATACATGGATATTCCATCCAACTATCTATATTTCATATTGTATATATACTAATCATTCCATAGGAAGATTGAATCGCAAATGAATTTATTTTTCGAGAGCATATAATATTGAAATAAGGGAAT